CCCACCGACCTAGAACACCCTCCAGCCCTGCCCACCCCCTGCACTCCCAGGGTGCACCCACGCCAGGAGCGGGTGGAGGGTGTGGGGGTGTGGTTGGGCTCAGAAGGCGCTCAGCTACTGAATCTGCCCCTGCAGACTTTCTTACAGCCCCACATGAGTGCAGAGCGTGCCAGAGGCAGGCACTTCCTACTTCGGTCTGTTTTCTACTTCTATTTCTGGAAGGCAGAAAGCGTCCACTAGAGCAAACTACTTAGCTCTTACATTAGCAAGTTATTTTTATTGCACACTCAAAAAAGTCAAAAGGAAGAAAAAAAGGACATTGAAAGTAGCTGTGTAAAAACCTGGGATCGGAAGACGGCTCCTCCTCGGGCCCATGCCTGGGGAGCGCAGGTCTGTGTGGGTAGCTGAGCAGCCGTGGCCGGTCAGGCCCCCAGGGCCGGACTTCCGCTCGCTCACAGAGGTGGGGTGCAGGAGCCACCTCTCCGGAGCTCCCCCTCTCTCCGAAGTCTGCCCACGCTCCCCTGGCCCTCCATGATCCAGAAGCCTCTCCAGAGTTCTCTGCCTGACTTATCTAGAAGTCTCCTCACTTCCCTGGCTGCTCACAGGCGGCTCTCCTCAGCTGGCAGGACAGGTTTTTCCACCCAGACTAGTGACAGCCATCCTCGGAAGTCTGTTAATGACAAGTTTGTCAAAATAGATGGCACAGCGGAGCCCGCCCATCTCCTTTCCTCGCATCCTGTCAACTCTGAACGCTGTAAACTCTTCTGAACTTTGAAATGTCCCTCCCACCCCGCAGGCATGCTGACTGCATGCCACACATCACATTCCCAGAGAACAACTGCTGCACACACAGGACAGGTACACACCTGCACACACCTGCACACACAGGCAGCAGCAGGCGAAGCACCCACACGACCATGCGCTGGAAAGGGTTAAAACTCCAAACAAGCTAAAGTTCACACACACACACACACACACAGACACACACACACACACACACACACCCCATAACCAAAAGTAAAAACCACGTTTGATTCAAGTTTGCATCTTTCAAACAAGACTTGGAAGAACAGTAAGAATGTCATGGTTTCCAGAGCTCATCGCTTTCCAAGGATTTTAAAAGTTCCCACTTGGAACTCACTTGAATATCACTGGTTTTTCTTCTGGCAGTCCCTAGGGTGGGGCTGCCAGGTTGGGGTGGGCCAGAAGATGCAGGGCTCACTCACCCCACAAGTTCTGGGGACCCAGAACACACCCAGGCCATCGCTGGGGGCCCAACTCTGAGGCTGACACCTGCAGGGGGCGCAACTGAAGGTTTGTTGAGCCAAACATCCTGCATTTATTCTGCAAAGAAGTTAGGGGGAAAGGAGCCAGTTGAAGCAAACTTGACCTTGGATGTGAGCCCGAGCAGGTGCCCATTATAGAAAACATAAGCTCCCAGGTGAGCAAAGAGCGGAGGCCGTGATGCCTAAATCCCTGTGGGCCCCTTGGAGTGCACGGCCCCTCAGCCCTGCCGTGTCTAGCTGTTATTTTGTGAAATGAGACCTGACGGGTGGTGTTTCACCTGATGGGCCTGCCCTGCGGTCCAGGTGAAGAGCGCGAGCGGGTGGGACCTGCCTCTCCCACCCCATAGTGCTGCCCTTCAGAGCAACTGCACTGCGTTACCTCTGGGCTGCAGACTTCATGCGAGTAAAGAGCCTGGCGGGCTGCTTTGCTGAACACAAGTAATGAAAAGATTATTTTTAGGACAAAAAACACGGAAGCTCCGAGCCCCGTCGCAGTGGAGCAAGGGTGGACACTCAGGCCGGCCTGGCTGCTCGTGCAGGGGGTGCCGCTGTGGCCCGAGACTTGCTCTGGGGGGACAGCAGCTCTGGCCTGGGCCTTCCGAGCCAGGCCCGTTTCTGCGTTCCTGCTTCTGTGACCAGCAGGGGAAGGAGCCCCTGGAGCGTGGGGGGCCAGAAGTGACCGCCCACAGTGTGTCCGCTGCGACTGTCTGCCTGAGTCAGAGACCCGCGACGTTGAGATGCTTGGCCCACTGCAGGCCTGATCAACGCCACAGGTAGGACTGGGAGCCCCAGAAGCTTCTCCCCAGTCCTCCCTGACTCTGCAAAAGGACACTGCACTGTGGGTTCCAGGCAAGACAGTGAAGTGCCGAGGAGGCCCTGACCAGCAGTGAACAGTAGCTCCCTCCCCCAGAGCCACGGGGCTGGGACTGGGGTTCCCACAGCTGGTGAGTTCCCCCAGGGGGTGCTGACCATGCCTGCAGGGGCAGACAAGCAGGGAGGGCCCTCCTCGGCCCTCAGTCCCCCACTGCACTCAGGGGGCCTGGACCAAAGCTGCAGGAGCCAGGTGGGGGCTGAGGGCTGCCCACAGTCAGCACTGGGCGGGGGGGGAGTGTAGGGTGTTGCTTCCCTGGGGCCACTGTGAGCTCTGTGGCTGCAAATATGGGGCCCTGAAACACTCATGTATGGGCATGAATTCTTGTAGGAGTTCTCGTGAGAATACATTTTTATTATAATTCCTTGATATGGATGATATTTCCTGCATGCTAAACCACAGGACAGATTTTTCCAGTGCATTCCAGGACACTTTTTTTCTCATTTTCTTCTCTGGGGATTCTGGGAATTTCAACTCTGGGGATTATGTGTTTGGACTTTGCATAAGCACCTCCCTCAGCTTCAGGGGCTCATGGGACAGCACCTCCCAGTGGGCACCCCACCCCCAGTACCTGGAGGAAACCCCAGTGAGGGTGTAGAATTCCCAGCAGGCCCCTCTAACCTTGTGCCTGTCCTGTGGCTCACTCCAGAACGGGGAGATTCCATTGGGAAAGAGGACCACGGTGACTTTTCTCAGCTTGGTCCTTCCATCCTGGGACCCCAGGCATCAGGGAGAGGAAACCTACTTTAGTTCAGACACAGACCTCCAAGGGATAGGAGTGGGCTTTGGGACGTGTTTATGCTTTGGCTCCTGGGTACCAATAAGCACTTTCTGGTTACCTATCCTACTTCAAGCCTGGAGGCAGGGGTGTCTTAGGTTTGTCAGGGTCCATCAGTCCAGGTCCTGAGGACCTGTAAGAGTCAGAGGGGCCCCTCAGAAAACCATCATCTCAACCTCACCTCTCTTTTGGGACACAGCAGAACAGTGGCAGGCCCTTTGCCTACTAGAAACAGACCCTTGGCGCTCTAAGCCCATAGAATGAGACCTGCCCTTCACTGAGACCCTCAGAAGATCTGTGTACACAATGTAATTGGAGATGCACTGCTCCTAAACCACTCAGACCACTGATTTCCAACCCCCCGTGGTGCATGATCATAATGGTAGGAGACCAGGAACTTGAAGACAAGGAGGAGAGGCAGGTGGGATAACGGAGCTAAGAGCACTCTGGAAATGGAGAGACACCTCCCAAATTTCAGGTTCTGTGAGACTGCACGTCGTTAAGGTCTCACGCCCATAAGGCCAAGTCTTTCCAAGAAGCCACTGGAATTTCAAAAGGACATGCATCTGAAAAGAGAAGTTACTTCTCAAGACATGCAAGCTGATCACTCTGGGAACACTTAGTGCAGGGCAACGTCAAGAATCAAATTCTTTCCCCATTTCATAATTTGATTTATGTGCACAGAATCTTTCAGAAAACATCACCCTAGTTAACCAATGGACATGTCTGAAGGAGAAGAAAAACATCCAGGCAACTGAAAAACATTTTCTGAGTGAGGTACAACATAGCATTGACACTACTGAGACTGCGAACAGATAGGTCCTCTCAGTGGATGGGACTCTCTGACCCACGACATCACTCGGCCCCACATGGGGACACTGTCAACCCCAACAAATGGATTCTCTCAACTCCAATGTGGACCCTCTCAGCCTCGACACATGGACCCTCTCAAACCTCATATGATGACCTAGACTGTAAGAGAAGGGACACAAGTTTAGTCAAGGTTCAAACTGCAATTCTGCTCTTTACCATTGTTTGACCTTGGTCATGTTTCTAGACCTCTGTTACTCTCATGCTCGCCAGCTATAAAGTGGGAATAAAGGGACGATTCTCCAAGATTGCCATGAGGATTAAATGAGATCATTCCCCAAGGCCAGAGCAGTGCTGAAGCTGTGCTTCGTGTGCACTAAGTGTTTACCGTCATCAACAACATCTTACTGGTATTAAACGTGGTGCAGCTCTAGTGGAAAGTCATTCAATACACATGCAGAGGCTTAAAAATCTTCAAAGCCAATAATTCCACATCTATCCTATGGAAATAATCTCAAAACCATGAATAAGCAATGGAAATGCCTTCTCTTATAGTAAGAGTGAGCAAACCAAATGTCTCAAAAGAAGCAAGTGTAGAGTAAGTATTTTAGATTGTGCTGCCATGCAAGATGATGTTGAGTGCTCCCATGAAAGAGAATGTTTAGATCGTGCTCCATTAACATGTTGAGATAGTGCTCCCATGTACGATGGTGTTTCACACGATCATAGGAGCTGGGTGACTGACACAAAGTGCGGAAAGAAAAGGAGGATTTAAAACTATATATATGGTTTAAATAAAGTTAAAAACAAAGCCCCAGAGCCCAGAGAAGCACTAGAAGAGAAATGCTGCAATGTTAACTGTGCTTGTATTTAGGGCAGTGGAACTTTGGGTGGTTATTTTCTACCTTCCTGCTTTCTTCTTTTTTCATTTTTTCATTACTAATCAGGTACTATTTCGACAAGGAAACAAAATCGAAATTCTACTAAAATAACTATATTTTTTAGCTAGGGTGGAGTGATGCTCTAGTTCTTCTGATGTTTGGTTCCGCGATAAATTTCTTCCTATCACCCACGAATGGCTAGAATTTATGCAAAAATCCCAAGATATATTTGATGGTGAAACAGTCACCCAGCCACTGGCTCGCCAGCTATAAAGTGGGAATACAGGGACGATTCTCCAAGATTGCCACGAGGATTAAATGAGATCATTTAACTAGACTTCCCATAAGATGCACGCAGCAGGTTGGTCTCTTACCGGTCTGTGTCTCCATGGCGCGTTCTGGACACAGAGCTGACCCCTCCGGCCCCACACACCAGTACATGCTGGGCGGTCGCTGCGACATGCCAGCCATCAGGGCCACTCTCGACGTCGGGGGCTCTCGCGTCAGTGCCGGCTGTGGTCACTGCTGCTGCTGCTGCGGCCTGAGGCAAGGCTGAGGCACAGGGACCCCGTCATGGCTGAGCCGATGGCCGGCCGATTCTGGCGGTGAGAAACATCAAATCAGAAAGCCTCGGTTCTCGTCAAGTCCCCTCCTGGACCCTTGCATGCGCTTCCTGTTTGTGTCGGCACATGGGCATTTCCCTCCCTCCTTTGCAATATTGCTCTTCAAATTCCATCTACCCAGCCCTGTGCTGTCAGGGCAGAACTCCCATTATCCCACCCTGCAGCTGACTTCCATCTGAAGAACCCAGGTCCAAGAGGGAGCCCTCCCGGTGGTGGGTCCGATCATGGTGCAACGACACGCAGTCGCTGCCACTTGCTGTGAGAGGCGCCTTCAGGGAGACATGTTCCTGTTGGGTGGAGCAGACACAATCACCCACCGAGGGCCTCCTTTTGCCCAGGACAGACTCCTCCAGAAACCTAAAGGTGCATGGAGCCCCTGCCCAAAGAGTTCCAAGGAGGAGAAACTCTGCCGTTAAGACTCATTTACTAAGATTCCTGCGGCTGAGATAGGAAACACTAAGGCAAGATTTTATGAGGCTCTTCCGTGCTGGGTTCACACAGAGCTTGCAGGACTCCCAACCTGAGTGCGCATTGTGACTGCCCAACATGATGGCGAGTAATGACCAGAAACACCTAACTCAGGCCCAGCCCAGGGCTGGCACCAGATGGTTGTGGCATCACCGTATGAATTACTTGCTTTCCACTAGTGTTCCGATGGCGTCTCCTCTACACAGAGGACTGGGTCATCAGCTAAACTTGTCTGTGTTCTGAGTCAGAAAAACAGCTCTGAAATGGAGAGTGATAGCGTAGACTCCCGGCAGTCCCCTAGAAACCACTGTCATGTGGATGGTGCCCATCACCACACAGAAAGGAAAAAGCAAGTTCTAGATGTCAAAGACTTGCACTGTCTGCCACACGTTGGCATGTGTGACCTCAAACCGAAACTTGTGTGGATCTGTTTTCTTGTCTACTAAAAATAGACCTGTGCCCTCCTGCTTACCAGTCTTGCAGGGTTCCAGTGCAAATTCTAGCAAGGTCAAGTTTCTGCAGCGCCCTTCAGCAGCAGGCCAGAGGCCGTGGGTCATTACTGCAGTGACCATGGTTGGCAGGGAGGGGGCAGGGGGCCGGCAGGGCCTGGTGAACAAGCCCAGTGTTGAGGTGACACTGACTCCCAGTGACGGGCTCTGAACATGGCGGGCACTGAGTCAGCTGTGCAGCAAGGGATAAATGCACCTAGGGGTGCATTATCAGCTACAGGCCTGGAAACCAGGCACCTGGCCCCGTAGGCTGAACTCTCAAAGTCAGCAGAGAGTAGGGCTGAAAGACCCCTGCACCTTTCCAAGTCATTGGGCAAGGTTTAGAGGAACTAAAACGGAGGCTAATGGTTAAATTGGTCTTGGTCCCAAAGAGCTTAAAGAAGAGGAAAACTTCTTCAGCTATCTCTTTGAGGCTTGTATTCAGACACATGGCTTGAGCAAGTAGAACAGAAGCTTGAGCTGAGTGCAAAAGTTGCTGGGGACTGAATGCAGAGGAGCACGAGAGAGGGGTGGGGGTGACCCAGAGGGGGGAGGGGCGACCCAGAACGGGAGGGGGGGTGACACAGAGGGGGAGGGGGCCACAACAGAAACTAAAAACTCCAGCTACTGGCCCTCCCTGGTGGCGCAGCGGGTTAAAGCACTGCACTGAGAAGCTAAAGCCACTTCCGCATGAGTTCGATTCCCGCCTGCCCCAGAGGTGGCCACACATGGCGTGGCAGACCTCTCCTGACCCGCCCGCTGCTCCCCTCAGCAGTATGCTTCGTCCATCTGCCTGTTCTGCTCCCCACTCTGTCTCTGGTGGAGCCTCTCACCGCCCCTGAGCCTCTGACCTGTACCCCAGTTCTGTATGCACAAATAAATAAATCTTTAAAAAAAAAAAACTCCAGCTACCTGCCAAGCCTCTCACGCTTCATGGATGAGGAGCCGGAGGCTGGCCACTGTTCCACAGCCAGACAGGCATTTCTGGGCCCCTAATCCACTTTTCAGCTTGTAAATGTTCTTCGTTCTCCACAGGTCCCCAAACCTACATCAGCCCATCTCCTTTCTTAACTGGAGAGGCAGATCTGCGCTTCTCCCCTACCTCCTTGCCTACTGGTATGCACAGAAAGCAGACTTGGCTTCTCAAATATCCGACTAGGAGCTGGGGGTTCTGCAGCTGGGTGGAGACCCCACGCTGGGTCACTAATATGCCTGGAAAGCACCTGTAGGTTTGGGAGCCAAAAAGTCCAAGGAGGAAAGGAGAAATTAGTTCTCTGGACAAAATTTTGGAGCCAGTGAAAATTTTATAAATTGTAAAACCTGCTGGAGAAAACTTAATTCAGGAACGGAGCAAAACCAGAAATCCTGTCTTAAAATAAAGATTGAAGATCACACGGTAATATTCAGAAAATCCTGAGCACAGTGGCGATCTCCTTTCAAAATCTTTTTGTACCAGCTCCCAGCACACTTGACAATTCCTGGAAAAATCCAAATGCTAAATGTCTGCTGAAAACAGAAGTCTTAGCATATAATGTTTGTGAGTTAAAAAAAAAAATCTAAAAAATATTTTAGGCCAACTCTGGCCCAGCCCAGTTTTGTTCCTCTTTTCATTTTCAGTTTCCTTTTGAAATCACTTTACTTAACGGAGAGGGTTTTGTCTCTGGAGTATTTTTATAATTACAATTTGTGTCTTGGCCGACACTCTAAGGTAGAAGCTTAAGACGCGATAACTCAAGTTTTGCTCAATTTTGCCCTACAGTGGATCTTGGTTTCTTCCTGCTGCTTCTGGGTTCAGCCCAGGCTAACTTCTCAGGACTGTAAGTTACAAAACAGTTTTCTTTTCATCAGGACAGAGGCATCCTGAAGAACCTCCAGAGGGTTTCTCCAATAATAATTGTTTTCACTCTTTCTTAAGCCACATCAAGTTTCTTTTACCTCACTCTTTCTTAAGCCACATCAAGTTTCTTTTACCAAGCTCTTTATACCCACACGAAGGAATCAACTTAAAATACTTAATGAAAGAGAGAAAAAAGGAACTTGATATTCTTTCTATAAATATTTTATGGGTCCTTTCTGTGTGAGGATCTTCATGGGTTTGTGGTACTTAGCACTGGTGGGGAGGGCTGGCGATGAGATAAGCTCTGGCTGTGGATTTCAGGCCGGGGTGGAAGCGGAGAGCCCAGGCTGGCTCACTGCTCTTTGCAGGAGGTGAGGGGAAACTGCTAAGAAGACATTTGCAGGCTCATCCATCTAACTCCTAGAATGGAAAGTCTTGTCAACATGGCTGGCTCACGGTCCCAGACATATTACTGGGCTCTTAGCATCCCTTGACCAGTAAAGGCTGGCTTACACGGTGTGGCCTGCAAGAACGGGATAGGCCCAGGCAGATATGCCAAGGAGTTGCAGGCTGGAGAACTATGACTCCAGAGCCCATGAAGGCAGTGTACTAATACTTGGCCTCTGTCCCAGCATGCACTGGGTGCTCTGTGAACAGCACTGGGAGTGAAGATAAGGCAGAGAGCAGGCTGGGCATACAGAAAGGGCCACAGGTAAATGGAGGAGAAAGGGCCAGGTAAGGAAGGAATGCACACAGTGGAGAGAGCAAGGAGGGTGGAGAAGGGAGGGAGCGGAGACTGGTGACGGGAGGAGTAGGCACAGCACTAGGGCGGCACTAGATTGGGGTGCTGGGTGGAGGGTGACAGGGTCATCAGAAACATCTGGATCATCCTGGTGGGAGGGGACCAGGTCCTGGGCATTTCATGCCAGTCACAAGGAAAAGGTCTTGAAGCAGAAGCACGATGGGTAATGATTTTTTTTTGTTTATATTATATATAAATTACTCTGCCTGCCACAGGAGTTTGGGGGCAGGGAGGACTGCAACAGGTGCACCTTGGAGTCCTGGGGGGTGGTGAGGAAGGCGGGGGTGTCCCCAGAGCAGTTTGGAGGCAGATGCAACTACCAACTACAGTTTGCTACCGACTGAATTCAGGGGTTGGGGGAAGGGTGGAGGAGGGCAACCGAGCTGACTGTGGGGTCACTCCTTGCAATGTGATGGTGGTGGTGGGAGGGAGGTTTGGCTGACCCTCCCCCCCCAAAGCAAATTACCTCTGAGGTTTACATGTTTTCACTTTAATTTTTAATTTTTCCGGGACATAAGCAAGAATGGTGAAGACATCACAAAAGGCCCTGAAGTCAACATTTTCCAAAGCTGTGCATCTCCAGCTGTGCCTTCTAAGTTTAGGTACTCTGATACCAAAGGAGAGGCAAACTCTGGAAAGAGTGTATGCTGAGAAGTCTGCTACAAACAGAAACACAGACAGGCACATGTTTCTGTGCCCATCTGCCCTGCAGGGGATGTGTCTGTGGGAGAAAACTTCCCTGGCCTTAAACTGCCAGTGGGCGGGTAGCGGTCCCCAATGCTCCCTCATCCATCTCCCCAGACCCTGGCTTCCTGGGGGCCCCTCCTTCCCTCCGTCCTCAGGCTACATCCCCCTTCCAGCCTGAGCCAGGGAAGGCTCTCAATTGGGGCACGGTGGGAGACTCTATCTTGGGGCACAGTCAAGCCCACACGCTGAGCCAGCCAAGGCGCACTTGGCCCTGGGGTGTCACCAGGCCCCCCGGCCCGGACTCCTGGGCAGCCCCTCCCCAGCACACACTCACTCCCATTCACACACGCGCTGGCTCGCACACGCACACCCGGGAGCTCACACGCCTGCTCCAAGTTCAAGGAAGGGGTTTTCTCCGGGGGCCGGGGCCGGCCGAGTCCAGACCCGGGCTGAGGAAACGGAAAGCGTCCTGGTGTGTTCTCCTACCTTTGTCTCTTGCCTCTCCTTGCTCCCGGCCGGCACGTCCAGCGCCGGGATTCAGGGTTCCCGGCCTGCGCCCCACACACCCCTCCTCCCGCGAGCACCGAGGGCGGGGCGGGAAGGCGGCGGGGCCCGCGGACTGGGGTGCCCGCGCCCCCGAC